GGCTATTGTTGAAAGTGGTGCTATAAACTTGGGGGTGCATGTGTCCCTTCGAAACAGCACACCTGTATCCCATGGGTAAATGCCTAGTAGTGCAATTGCTGGGTCGTAGGGTAGTTCTATTTTTAGTTTCTTGAGGAACCTCCACACTGTTTTCCAGAGTAGCTGCACCAGCTTGCATTCCCAAAACTAGGTTTGTTTTTAAGTAAAGAGGCATACTTTTCATTATTTTTTAAAAAAGTAAATCGTGAGGCTTTATCCCCAAATTACTTTTAATTATCTTTATTCAGATTATAACACTTCTGTGGGTATAATAACAGACCACAACTTTCTCTTGATTTAACACCTAGTAAATTTTCTGATAAAGTTAAATGAAAAGTTATACAATAAATATTATACTGAAATTAAAAGTCCTGAAAGGAAATGGCATGACAGATTGATCATTCGTGAAATTTGTTTAGTAACAACAGTTTTAAAATATCTTGGCCCTAAGGTCAATGACTGTCAGGTGAGAAGATGATAAACATACTATACTAGCCCTGATTCGGGAGGAATGAGACTCTCCTTATCTACCATTACAACAACTCTGCTCTCTTCAGGTAAACCTAGCAATCAGAAATGATCCTTCATTGAGGAAAGGAGACAAAATCACACAGGAAAAATGTCACCCATCTGCTTATATTCTGTAATCCAATGAAGGGGACACATTTGAAAGTCCTAATGATTCATTTTCCTAATTACTAACGGTTTTATCCTATGAATGACTACAACCCCAGCACCTTGTATCCTTATTCTGCTTCTACTCTCTGACTTCAAAATACATTTTGTGTGAGCAGTGGCTGACTGTATACTTTCAAATTGGGAAGGAGTTAGGGGAAAATAATACATTTCAGAAAGTATTCAGAAAAGATCAACAACATCTGGAAAACATTCAGGTGGCAGACTATTTTGAAACGGGGGCTTTGCAAAAGTGCACTATTAGGTGGCTCTTTAAATAGACTATGGACTTATCGGTTAACTACATCTAGCTTGCTCTGTCCTTTGTGAAATGATGGTGGAGGACAGGGAAGGAGGAATCAGACATTTAAAAGTTTAAATAAGTACAAAGCATATAATTTGTGCTGGGCTACAATATCAACATTTTAACACTGCCGTTGTTGTTATTATCCAAATGTTCCTAACAAAGCATCTATTCTTGCTTCATGAATAAAAAATCTTCTTTCATCTCTGAGGAAACTGGTAGGTATTCGGGGGAGAGAGGTGTCTCTTCTCCTTGCCTTGTGTTTGTTTGTTTATTCCTTGTTGCCTCTTTAACTCCATTTGTTTTGGTCTCTGTCATTGGCATCCCACCCTTTACCTCTGACATTTGATGATCCAGAGACAATTTGTCTTACTCAGACTAAATGAAGGTTCAAAAAACTGTCTGGAAGGTTTGAGCATATGGATGGGCTTCTTGTTTTTTAACTTCCTTGTGTAGTGATCTAAGTGGAATCCCTGATGTCCCTACCTTTGGGTCTTTTCTCTCAGTTGATAAGATTCCTCAGAGAAGACTCTCCCATCTCCTGCCTAAAGGGGAAGGTTTGGCTGCCAGCATTTGGCTGGGAATCTTTGAAAACAGAGTGCTGGGGAACTCTCCATTCATCCTTCTGGAAACAGTCACTCAACCCTCTGTTTCTGACAAAATCTCCATGCCCGTGTCCCCAGTCCAGATATAATTGATCTTCCTCTCTCCAGAGAATATAAAAGTCTACAGTAGGGCAGGGAGGGGGCAGTCACCCAGCGACCCAGAGCAGGATGCAGGATTTAGAGAAGATTTGCAGGTATGCTCTCTCACTTACGTATCTCCCCTCTTCTGAAGGCAGACGGCACTGCCAATTCCTGACACTTTTGAGGAACCTGTGGTGTCAGGTTGGCCTTTATTTCCCCATTGCCAACTAAGGCTTTAGCTTTTTTTAGGTATATTAATTCCATTACCACTTCATCTGCTTTCTGGCTTTCAAAATGTTGTTATTGTTTCCTTCCTCTCTGTTATCTCTGTCCTTATATGTTCATGCTTAAAAAAAAAAAATTCCTTGATTGTAGTTTTAGTGGCGTTTCAAAACACAGCAAAACTTTGTCACCTTAACTTGAAACCCACATCTGCCAAAGCCGTTAGAAACTAAAGATGTGTTAATACATTTAACCAGGTGCATGTCACTGTCTTATAAAGAACAGAAAGAAAAAATAGGAACTGTATCTTCTTTGGTTCATTTAAAGCTGGTAATAAACTCTTGCTAGAGGGCTTAAAATTTACAGTTAAAAAAAAGTTTATTTATTTTGAGAGAGAGAGAATCTCAAGCAAGCTTTGGGCTGTCACCCGATATGGAGCTTGATCGAACGACCCTGGGATCGTGACCTAATCCAAAATCAAGAGTCGGATGCTCAACCAACCGAGCTACCCAGGCACCCCTAAAATTTACTATTAATACTTTTTTAGCTATTAAAGTCTATGATAAATTTATAGAATGATCTGAATTCATAACTAGGTATACTCATTATATAGTCAGAGTTACCTAAAAATATAACCAAAGTGTTTTGGAATAGACAGATGCAAAGGTTTATGCTTACAGAACCCAAACTGTAAAGTGATGGGATCATATTGTGCCTCTTCACTGACTATTCCCCAGACTACAGAACTATTGCAATTTGATAATGTTCTCTCTATTGTACTTCTTGTCTTTATTGATAGTGGCATTCCACTGCCCCATCACTGTTCCTGTTTTTTTAATGTTTATTTATTTATTCTGAGAGAGAGAGAGAGAGCGAGGGAGAGAAAGACAGAGATAGAGCGTGCAGGCACGTATGCACACGAGTAGTGGAGGGACAGAGAGAGGGGGAGAAAGAGAATCCCAAGTAGGCTCTGCACCATCAGCACAATGCCTGATGCGGGACTCAAACTCACAAACCGTGAGACCATGACCTGAGCTGAAACCAAGAGTCAGATGCTTAACTGACTGAGACACCCAGATGCCCTACCCATCACTGTTTCTAAAAACAATTTTTAGTACTATTCTTTGCTGCCTCTGTTTATAGCAAAAGCATTTCCCCTTATTCTTTTGTTATTCTCTTTGACCATTTTCTCTTTCCTTGACACTTCTGTTTTGATATGCTTCTCTCTCTTCCAAATGGTAAACCAGCAATAATATGCAGTTATGTGTAATCATTCTTTCATTTTGTGTGTGTGTATGTAACAGATATGTAGTGAGTACTTATCATAGGCCAGGCCCTGTTCTAGGCATTAGGGATAAAACAATGAACAAAATAAAGCCCCTCATCTCATACAGCTTATATTCTAGTGGGGGTGACAGACAAAAAACAAATATGTCCGATACAGCTGAGTCTCAAAAACAAAAGGATAGGGATACAGAAAGTATCATCGGTGGGGTAGGAATCTTAGTTACATAAGATGATGAGTGAGAGAAGCCTTCTTTTAAAAGGTAACATTTAAAGAGAGACCTAAGGGAGAAGCTCTATGCATATTTGCGGAATGAGTATCCCAAAGAGAAAAATAACCAGTACAAAGGCTAAGGAGGGAAGATGCTTGGCTTGAAGAAACAGCAAAGAGACTGGTGGGATGGGAGCAGAATAAGCTTTGTTTTCTTACCAATGGTTACTACTTTTGCCACGGTTTACTCTTTCCAAGAGTTTAATATACCTTTCAGATTTGAACAGATTCAGATTCTAACTTACATGAAAGGCTGACATTGTTTGAAGTCTAGTGGATAAGTGGGAATGTTACTGAAGAGGTAATCATTTGCTGCAATAAGCACTCTGGCTGACCACAGGCTTGTAAACAATGTAAATTACTTAAATTACTTAGATATATTACTTAGTCTTGAGACAGGGAGGGTGATAGCTCAGTGGGAAGATTTAAGAGCCCAATCTGATTTTCAGTCCTGGTCCTACACTTACACACTAAGTGACCTTGAGTCAGAGCTCTAGGTACTGGTACTTACATACACTTTTACTCTTTTATTCTAATTTTAAAATGTAAAAGTAGCATAGTGAATATGGGGAAAGAATAATGGCTTGGGAGTCAGATTCTGAGTCAAACACCTCTGCTGCTATTTATTAAATGTGCAGCTATAGACATCACTTAAAAGCCTGAGTTTCCTGACCTTTAAAAGCAAAAAAAAAAAAAAAAAAAAAAAAAAAAAAAAAAAAAATCTACTTTATAGCACTATAAAGATTAAATGACATAATAAAAGCCATTTGTGTACTATAAAATATAAGATACATACATATTTTTAAACTACCCATAGAGCTTTTAAACTTGTATTCTACTAACTTAAAATTTTTCATCTAAGTACTTTCAAAATTCATTCTTAATTTTTACCTTTTGATTTCCTTCTTCATTTGTACTTAAGAGCTGCATGCAACATTTATCCCTCCCCCCAGTTGGTTCCCTATTTTGACCGATGATAAATTCTATTTAAGCAACATTTTATCTTTTAAATTACATAGCAAAATTCAACAGATATGAACAACTCAACTTGGAATCCTTAAAAAAGCATCAGAATGCAGATTTTAATTTTATTTTATTTCACTCAGATGACATTTTGTAATAAAAAATATGGGTACATGTAAAAAATAATTTGAAAGGATAACTTAATTATTTTGTATACTTCAGTAACTGTTAAAGACTTTTTTGTAGACTTTCTTGGTTTTTTGGCCTATTTTGTTTTGTTAACCTTCAATACTAAATCATTGCATGCTAAACATAAAATTGCAGTCACGTATTTGTTATCAAATATTTGATATATGTTTTTGAAGACTATACTAAAGATATACAAGAGAGACATTTTATTTCTTAATATCATATTTTTAGCCATTAGTTAAAAGTGTTCCTATGTTACTAGACAGTAATTCAAAAGCAACCCAAAAGAATATTAGCTAAAACCTTTAAAATACCATCAGTGGTTTTCAAAAACAATTTACAAGAGATTTAACAGAATGGAACTTACTCCATGCCCTGCGCAGTCTGCCGAGCAATATCTATCAGCTTGATCATCTCGAATTTGGTCTCGATGATGTGGAGATGGTGGTATAAGCTGGAGCCCTCACACCACTGGGTGACAATAGCCAGCTGGGGCTTTGTTGAATAGCCCATGAAGAGCAGGATGTTCACATGCCGAGTTTTCCTGTAAAAGAAGTATGTTAGTAAATAGTAAATGTCGATAAACTTCAGCAAATCTTAAAAAAGTGGACCAAAGCAGTCTGATTATCAGGAAGAACATAAGGAAGGATAAGTTTAGAAATTATTTTAGGAATTGTCTAGTGTAATATCCTACCCCTTGCAGAAAGATCTTAGGTTTTAATATACTTCACAACAGGCAACTGAAGTTGCTTAAATACCTTCAATTGTGCAAAGCTCTTCACTGAGACTGCAGCTTCTTTTTTCACCCTTACCCCCCTTTTGAAAGTGGTTCTAGTATTAAAAAGTTCTTTGGGGTTGAGAAAAAACTATTTCCCTACAACTTCCGCCACTGGCCATCCTGTTCTGCTCTCTGGAATAAAACAAAGTCTGTACCTTCTTGAACATAATAGCCTTCTGTGGACCCAAATATACTCAGTTCTATCGACTGTTTTCCCCTTGTTACAGTTTCAGAACCCTCCTCATCTAAGTTGTCCCTGCCTGGATATTCTCTAGTTTGCTAATGTTCCTCAAGTCCCAGGGCTTGACACAATCTTTAAATGTGTTCTGATAAATTTAGAATTTTGAGAGTATTATTTCCATAAGTGGAAATAGGATTTTTCATGATCAGAACATTGTATTTCCATTAATTCACCTTAGGACTAATTTTCCTATCAGTTATACCATATAAAATTGTACACCACTTAAACAATACGGTTAAAGACATAGTATACTCAAACTCTGTCTTATCCACTTTTAGTAAACCTGTAAAGCCAACAGTGGCTATCACTGGAAAATAGAAGATAAAGATAACTTCTCTGGAAAACAGTAATGCACACAGGCTCACCTGAGTACTCCTACTTCATTTTTGAAGGCCTGTAACTGCTGAGGTGTGGGTGCTGTCACATTCAACATTTTCACTGCCACATCACCTAAAAAAAAATTGTCATTCTAAATGTCATTCCAATTTTTTAAACTTTAAAAAAAAAAAAAAATATATATATAAACCTCTTGGATATTTTCACTAATTACCATGGCCTTAAATCCATACCATTATTAAATTGCAAATAAATGAGATCTTAACTTCTAAAATGTATTAATTTTCTAAGGATAAAAACTAAATGAACAATGACACTCCTATACTAGTATTTCAAAATACCACCTCCCCCCCAATAGCCAATGTTGTATTTCCCCTAGAAATGTAGTTTAACCAAGTAAGTACCCATGGTATTTTCCTGATTAATTAACAATACTAAACCAAATGCTTTTATTATCTGAATGTTAAAACAAACTATTGATGACAGGCCCAATGAAGCTTGGCTGAAATAGAAAACTGCAGAGCTTCTTTATCAGAGTAGTTAACATGGTTTTCAAATCCAAGGATCACTTGCTTTTGCTCAGGAAGATTAAAAAAATAATTTTATGTGAAACAGAATTCTTACACATCGCCAGTGGGTGTGTAAAATGGTGCAAGCACTTAAAACACTTTTGGCAGCATCTACTAAAACTGAACATATGTATATCCAGTGGTCCCACAATTCTTTCCTAAGTATATACCCAGCAAAAATGGAACATATGTTCTCCAAACAACATGTACTAAGAATATTCACAGCAGCAGCATTCGTAATAGCCCCAAACTGGACACTATTCAAATGTTCATCACACAGTAGAGATTGGAAAAGAAATCATGTTAGAGTCACACAATGAATACTATTCAGAGAATGAATGACCTATAACCACATACAATAATACAGACGAATCTTGTACTTTTTTGCAGGTTTATTATACTTTGATATAATTATGGATTCTTCCTGATTATCGAAGTAATACAGTGCTCATAGTGAAAAACATTTTGAAAACAAAGAAAAAAGTAAAATCTCCTATAATCATGTCACTCAGAAGTGATCATTGTTAACACACTGATATATAAACTTATTAGGCTTTTATAGGTATGCAGTGTGAATATTTACGAATACATATGGAAAAAAATCACCTAAAAAGATATATACTAAAATGCTGACAGTCGTTTTAAAAGTTTATGTTATATGTATATTTCTAGGCAGTACCATAGTATAGGATATTATACATGCTGTTCTGTAAAATTTAATATACCACACATACCTTTCTGTATCAATAAATATAGATCTACCACACTATCTCATGTCTATATAATCACATATGAAGGTTATCAATTTATCCAGTCCTCTGTTAATGAGCACGTAACTTTATTTCCATTTTCTCATTAAGTCTCTAATGAATATATTTGCACACACATCTGTTTGTTTCTGCCCAATGAGTTGTAGTTCTACAAATGGAATTGTTGGCTCAACACACATATTGACAAACTGCCCCCCAGAAAATCTGTAGCAATTTATTCTCCCTCCAGCAGTGTTACAATCACAGCTCTAAACATGGCCAATTAAAAAAAAAAAAACAAACAAACACAAAAACAAAAAAAACCTATCTGTCCACTTGAGAGGCAAATAATGATTTCTAGCTTTTGAATTTGCAATTCTTTGATAATTAGTGAGGCTAAACATTTCTATATGCTCCCTGGTTGTTTCTTCCTTTGGTAAGTACAATTTTAATGTTTACCTGTGATTTATAACACAAATAAAACTATCAGCAAAAAGACTTCTAAAAGAAAAAAAATCTTGGGGCGTAACTCACCCGGGGAATTGTCATCTTTAAAAATTATTACTGTAATGATAGGAGTCCTCCTTGCTGTGAATTGTTTTTATTTCCCATAATTTTTGTTAACCCTTTCTTTGGAGGACTCTTTAATCTGACCTATTTGCTATGATGCTATTTGCTTAGTGATTCAAACAGTGCATATTCCCTTTGATTTTTTTAAATCACAGTTATGACACGTATCCTATTATAACTTGTATGTCACTGTATTACATACGTACCATGCCACTTTCCCTTGTAGACTGTCCCAAATGACCCGGATCCAATTCTCTGTCCCACTGTGATCTGCCCATCAGGAATCTCCCAATCATCACTTGAATCCCTTCTACCAAGTGTTTTCTTCATAAAAATAGCACAAAAGTCAAGCCAAAGCAAACAAAAAAGGAAGAGAGCAAAAATCAGTGTGTGGGAATGCTTTAAGCAAAAAACTATCAGCTTTTAAATTTACTTTGTTAAGGGAATTCTGTGTCACATACTGACATATCATACATCACCATATATCATATAATCTAAAAGGTGACATTACATTTAGCTAGCTTATAAAACAAAAGAGCTTAGAGACCAGAAGATCTCATATATTCTCACCATTCGATTCCTATCTTCTGAGGATGAAGAAGATTTCCTTTCCCGCTGAGGCCCTGGAGATTTCTGTAATGCTTTTACATTAGTGAGAGAGCCCGGCAATGAGGCAGGGGGGGTGGCAGACAAGCCTGTGGTTGATCCTAAATTAGTGAAATGAAAAATGTACCTATTAAAGGAGGATTGAGTATGTTAATTTACTGGGGGAAGAGGGTAGGGAGAGATTTAGACTTCTTTTCAAAATGTAATGTATGTTTAAAGGCACATCTTTTGGAAATGATAGGACAAAAAAGGGCCTCATTTGGTGATCTGCACTGTAATTTCTTTTAGTTTTCTGGTCAATTTAATGACTTTTAAAACACCTGATTTCAGATACATACTTTGCTTATTGGTGTAGAGTCTGGAAGAAAAATAATCTTTCTAAAGTAAGAGATCAATACTAAAACAATACTCCCAAGTCTTTGTTTGATTTAAAAAAGTAAAATCAATTTAAAAGCTTATAGAAAAAATAAACTTGTAACTATTTTATGTTACCTGAACAGCCAATCAATATAAAAACAGATGGAAACTCCCAAATGGGAACATATAATAATGGCCTTAATGTTAAAAATATCTGGCTCTATCATATTAGCCACGAGAACTTTAAAAATCCTATACTGTTTAAGAGTTAGAAATATCGGTCAGTTCAGTGGTTCCTGGATTCCTGTTCTACCAAAGACTACTTGTTACCTGTATAACAAAGTTAATACAAACAAAGCCAAACAGGTTTCTCAAGACTTGCTGAAAAATCTCTACAGGTATAAAGTGAGAGAAAAGTTAAGTGCTATGGCCTCTTGGCCAAGCTGCTACAAGTGGAAATATTCTAGGAGTCAAGTGAGTCCAGTGGATACACTGAAAGTAGACTCAGTAGGCAGGGCTGCATACTTTTCTAAACACCGACTGAGCACAACTCCTAGATTCACCTAGCCGGTTTAGAGGGGTTCAGGGCAATGACTCCTAGTGGTGTCTGAATACAGTTAAGGAGAACTGAGATGTCCAGTAATATTTGCATATACAGAACAAAAAGACCTCGAAAGAATTTTTTCTTTTATAAGATTACTATTTGGGGGTAGGGAGAATAGCAATGTCTACATTTAAATGTTCAAACTGTATAGAATTTTATCATTGCCACATCACACATGCCATCACATGGAGAATGTACCTGATCTGATATGCAATTTTCTAAAAGGAAATGGGGCCTGGGATGCCTGTAACTAGAGCATAATCCATTTTCCACCTTCCAACTGGTAATTTTCAACATCATAAAGCTTTAACTGCTTGCTCAGGCCTCATAGATTCTGATCTACTCAATAATGTACTGTATTACTTATTTCAGTGACACTACTCAGTACTGTAGGAATTCTAGCCCATCCTATGGATTTTATGAGAAACAGCTGGGCTGAGACAGCAAAAATCTGAACCACCACCATCACTTTCAGAGTAAATAAGAGACACTAGCAAAAGCCAGTAAATATAATTCTTTAAAAATATTTGTAGTAAGATACCTGTCTGAATTTTGAGTTAAAACGTTAAGAGATCAGTTTAACTACAAAACAGAGTGAGATGAACTGAGAGAGTGGAACCACACTGCTATAGTGCTTCTTTCATATTAGGGTGTAAGTGAGGGTAGCAATCCTCAAATTTTATGAAGTATGCTAAAAGTACCCCAAATATATTAAAAACCTTTCTTAAGGCTCCCTACCTCTGATATAATATAAAACGTACATGTCCTGCATTAAAAAAAAGGACAGTGCTATTATAGAAAAATAAAGCCAAAAATCTGGCAAAATCTCCTAATTGGGGTTTCTATTTTTACTTTATTAAAAACCACAAGAGTTGATCACAAATATTAATAGTCATGAAGGCTATTATGTAAATGGATTAAAATAAAAGTTATTCTGATCGAGGCACCCCCCCATATACATTATTTATTGCCACCCACCGAGTTTAAGAAATTATCAAGACCAAAAAGTCAGTAATAGAACAAAAAACAAGATGGATATCTTAGCTCAGAATTTTCTTGCTTTTAAAAATTTATGACAGACAGCATACAGAAAGCTTGTGGTAGTGAGTATGTGTGAGAAGCACATTCAGAGCATTCCAGCCAGGCCAAGCAGAAATTTAGTACTGAAAACTCTCACACTTACAAACACACGCTGTGAAGGTGAGGCACAAACAGTATCTGTAGTTTATATTGAGTTTGCTTTGGGTGAAAACAAGAAAGAAGAGCCCAACTACCTCTGAACACTGGGCCAGGCTCAAAATCAAACACTATTTCACTGGGGACAGAATGTAGGAGGGGACTGGGAGTCCGGGATTGGTATTTCCGAAGACCACGCATCAGCTGGTTCAAAGGGGCTGTTAGAAGAGAAAGAGAGGGGCAGGCAAACACAAGAAGACAGACACACAGAAGAAATGAAAGAAGTCATGGGAATAAATGAGTTGAAGCCTGCTTCACAAAATATTCTGGATGTCTAAAAAATCTGCTTGTTTTCATAAAATCCCAATGACTTTATAAAGTGACTCATAAAAAGGGTAAGAAGTGCCATTTGATTTTTGGAACTAAGCAGGCAGTTTTTAAGATTAACTTAACTTTGTGATGCTAATATGATGGCAACACTTAAATGCTGGATGTACTGGGCAAAATTATCAGAAGCCACAGTTATTAAGACATATGAAAGTCAAACTGGCAGCAACATTAATTGGTGGATTCATGGAATAACAAATGGAAAACAACCACAACTTTTTAAACTACATGCTACAATGAATAGTAAGTCCAAGATACAATGCAGGGTTTTCATTGAGGCAGATTCACAGGTATAGAGAAACATAACACAAGATGACTTACACAATGCTTATTCAATATAAAATATCTTTAAAGTCTGGGTTCAGGTATTTTGAAGATAAAGCAGTTCACAGTGAGGAGACCGACTCTCAAAAAGGTAAACAGGTATTACAGGTCCTCTTTTTTAGAGAGAAAATACTTGAAAAAGTAAGCATTAAGGACCACCTGGAAGAAATCTTCAAGACAGTTCCAAATACCATTTTGTGGAAAACATTGTATAGGGATAAAATCTTACTTAAAAAGTAAGCAATGTTTTCTTATGTCCCCAATTTTTAGAGTGCTAGAGTGAACATCTGATAAAGCAATCTCCATTCAATTTCTCATTTACTTCTTTTATTTACTGGACTAATAAGAGGACAACATGCTTTCTTTCTATAAGGGTCCATTTTGTATAAGGTACATTCCAAACCCTTCCAGAAAGCTGAAGAGGCTGACAATGTCCAACAAACGGAGATGTTGTGACAGGCAATCTAAGGGATTCTTCACAAGAATGACTTAGGAAAATCAAGTGTTAACTGACCCTAAGCTCAATCATTAAGTATGAGTGGTACTAGTTAGAGTTTCCTCCCAAAGGGAAGTTAGCACCTCTAGTTTTAGAGATAGTTAGGAATCAGTAAGGTGGGTAAGATAGTTGATGGTCTGTCTTTGAGGATAACAACATTTTAAAATTGTAGATAGTACATTTAAGATTCCCTTTTATGTCTTCTCTTTTTATCTACTCATCTTATAAATCAGTTAAAATTTTACCAGAGATGAATGATAAATAATAAAGAAAACTAAAAAAAAATTTGGGGGTTTTCCCTACACATTTTTCTCTGTGTCTGTGTTTCATGAAAGAAGCAAATATAAAGGAGACAAGCAGCAAAGCAATTGCATTTTTCCCTGATTTTTTTTTTTAATTGAAATCACTACTTACCTCCATCACTACGAAACCCCTGGTCTCTAATCAAGTCCTACAAATAAACAGTAATGGATATTTATTCAAAGCATATGGTAAGAAAGTAATAACAACACTGAACTTTCCACTAACCATTAACAGAAAGGTTAATTCAACATAATACCTGTCATACAATTACTTCACAAAAGAATATGAAATTAGGGAACATAAGATAAACATTTTGAAGCCCTTGTCAACCTAACCCCTATATTGAAGGGATTATTAGTCCTAATCAAATGTTGAAATCCCTTTCAGGCCATTCAAAACCAATGGCTACATCAATTCTTTTTTTTTTTTTTTTTTAACGTTTATTTACTTTTGAGAGAGAGGGAGACACAGAATCTGAAGCAGTTTGATTACAATCAAAATACAGATGCGTAAGGAAACACTAGAGGGGAAAAAAAATCAAAATGGCTCTAATAGGGTTTTGTTAAAGTTTGTCTTTATTATTAAAACATATCTTCCTACAACAGACAATACTGGGTGATGGGGAGCGAAAAGTCTACTGGCAACGCGATGCACTTTGGACATTGATAGGTGGGACTTAGTATGTTTACCCAGTTTAAATAGGAGGGCCTGAACGGCCCCAAATGTCTCTAAACAGGCTCAAAGGCTCTTTGCAAACAGGCAGCTTTTTGTTTCTAGTCTAGAATAAATTCTTTACAAATGCATTTCCATCATGTGTAATGTATTATATAAAGCCTTTGCCATCTTCTACAGAATAACCAACAAATATACATCTGCCAACAATGTGCTAGGTGTTAGGGGCTGCATGGCTACCAATAAATATAAAATCCTTGTGGTCTCACTAACTTTCTGTGTTCTTGAGGACTTGTAATCTAAGTGGAAGAAAGATGTACAAACATGGAAATGAAATGATAAAAGAATAATAGCTTAAGAAAACAATAAAAGAGGTGCCAAAGTTGCTTAGTTAACTGCCAGACAAAGAGTATGGGTGAAAAGACTCCTGGTGCCACACGAGTTCAAAGGATAAAGAACTGTTAAGACCTCACTGTGGAAGCATTTCAAGAGAAGAGCTAGGAGTTGGGGGTAGATAGGAATGCAGGGGTGGAAAGAAGCAGAGGACCACCTACATTTTTTTTTGTTAAAGTAGGCTCCACACCCAGCTTGGAGCACAACTGCAGGGCTTGAATTCACGATCCCGAGGTCAAGACCTGAGCTGAGATCAAGAGTCTGACGCTTAACTGACTGAGCCACCCAGGTGTCCCAGAGAGGAACTTCTAGACACAAAGAACCGCAAGACAAAGGCAAAAATGCCACATCCCTTTCCTTTTTGCTTCACCAACCTGTAACTCCCCACAACCAGGGATCAGCCACCTCTGGCTTTCTCCGCTCTTACTGCTAATTAACACCATAAACTTCTATTTTTCAATCTGTTCCTAAAGCTTTTTGACAATCTTTTCACTTATTCTAGGTTAAAGAGGATCTTCTAGTATCCCAATACTGGCTATTTCCAACTCTCCCTCATCTCCTGTAGCTCCTTTTGTTACTTATATCTCTTCCCTTTAGCATGATAGAGGAAACAGAAGCCTGTCCCTATATTAACAAGTATTTGCACAGTAGCGTTAGCTATAATTTCTGAATTCTTACTATGTGCATAATAAACATTTTCAAACCAACAAAAGAGGTAGATACGGCTAGGTTCAAGGTTAAGGCATTTGCCCAAGGTCATACAGCCTGTAAAGAGCTGCAGAGCGAGCTATGTCCATCTCTAATTCCTCACAGCCTCTGAGGAATATCGTTTCCACGTTTAGGAACTGGACTATATCAATTATTCCCTCTCTTGTTATTTTCAACCTCTCTCTTCACTTGCTTCTTCCCCTCAAGTTACAAACATGCTGAAGATTCTCACATTAAAAACAACTGTCCTTCAACCCTGTTTTAATCTATGGCCCTTACATTATTCCTTTAGAGCCAATCTTCTCAAAAGTGACACTTACCCCCACACCTTCATCAGCCTTGCTCTCCTCCGCTGGCCCTCTAAAACAGCTCTCAGTGAAGTCAAAGTGACATTTTAATTGTTCAGTAGTCATTTTCAGTCCTTATCACATGTGAGTCTCAGTGGCAACTAACATCAACTACTTCAGCATTCTTCAATTCCCTTTCTGCCCTTTGGGGTGACACTACTCTCTCTTACTTATGTAAAGTTAGACTTGGGAAGAAGAGCTCGTAAAAGGCACAGAAAAGGACAGTCTTTGCCCGGACCTCAAAATGTTAATAATATTCAGTGGGGTTGCATATTCTACCTTCTTTTCAATTTGCATGTAGTCTTTGAGTAGTATCATTTACACCCATGGTTTTAATTGAGAAATATGCTAATTATTCCAAAATCTGTTATCTCTACTCAAGGTCCTTATATTCAACTGCCACTGGACTTCTAAACCAGTAAAGTCCCTCAGACAACTTAATGTCAGTATGTCCAAAATAAAAGTTACCATTTTCATTTCTATAAGACCTGTTCTTCTTCCTTTGGTATCTCCTATACTACTGAATGGAATGAATACTGTTTACCCAAGCCAGAGAAGTGTGGACATTATCTTCTAGATCTCATCTCTTTCATTTCTTTCTACTACTCTACAGAACAGTAGTTAAACATAAGCAAGAAAGACCAGGTTTTACCCCATTTCAATCATTTATCAGCAATGTGATCTTATGTGATCTTGGGTAAGTTTCTTAACCTCTTCAAATAGAATTTTCTCAACAGTAAAATAAGGATAAAAATAGTACTTAATCCATGAGTGTTTATGAGGACTCCGCTATGTAGGGGAGCCTGGGTAGCTCAGTCGGTTAAGCATCCGATTCTTTGTTTCAGCGCACGTCATAATCTTATGGTTCTGTGAGTTCGAGCCCTGAGTCAGGCCCTGCACTGACAGTGTGGAGCCAGCTTGGGATTCTCTGTCTCTCTCTCTCTCTCTCT